TGTATCGGTTTTGGGGGACGCGGTCAAAATCCCCATACATTCTCTGTAAATTGCACGGCTTCTCATTAATTGAAAATTTGTCCAAATGATCTGTAACAATCTATTCACGAAACAAACCCCACCAGTTGAAAGGGCACCCAAAAATTAGTATATGTACCAAGTTTCAAAACGTTTGGATAAAAACTAGCTGAACAGTATTTATTTCTAGTTTCATCAAATTAACAGAGAATGTATCGGTTTTGGGGGACGCGGTCAAAATCCCCATACATTCTCTGTAAATTGCACGGCTTCTCATTAATTGAAAATTTGTCCAAATGATCTGTAACAATCTATTCACGAAACAAACCCCACCAGTTGAAAGGGCACCCAAAAATTAGTATATGTACCAAGTTTCAAAACGTTTGGATAAAAACTAGCTGAACAGTATTTATTTCTAGTTTCATCAAATTAACAGAGAATGTATCGGTTTTGGGGGACGCGGTCAAAATCCCCATACATTCTCTGTAAATTGCACGGCTTCTCATTAATTGAAAATTTGTCCAAATGATCTGTAACTTGGAACCTACACTAAAGTCGATAAAGTCTTTTTAGCGATATGGTTAGTTTTTCGATTGGCTCAATATGACAGAAATTACAATTCATWTTATAACATAAAAATGGCTAATTCTTACCACGTGGTAAACACGCTCCAAAACCGACAAAGTTATTATCACTAGGAATATTAACGTCACAGCRGAACTAGAAACAGTGGACCTACTACTATTCTCTCTCTCGATTTTATCCTACRTTTACCCTGCGAGCAGAGTGTATTTCCTTACCTCAATAAAGGAAATACACTCTGCTCGCAGGGTATCCTACATTTTGATATATACTTGAATGAATTGCTTTTAAAAGTCTTTGTTAACTAATGATCGGAGTACCATTTTTTTGCATTGTTTTTCTGCAAAAAACAATTACAAAATAAAATACTTAAAATTACCTCGAACTTCTTGGGATCTCGGGATGTTGTGTATGGCTAATCTCCGTTCTTGATAGTTAAGTAACTCTACTCTCTTCGGACTCTTCGAGGACCTGATCAAAGGCGATCAAAGCYGGACCACGATGCTTCGCTGCAGGCGACAGCGTCCTTCCTTTACTAACAATGACGTCATGTTGCTCTCAAGCATGTTAAGGCTGGGTATTTTGCCACGATATTCTAAAAAAAAATATTAAACTAAACTAAACTCACAATCTTTGGTTTTGAGGCATAAATAATAATTTGGTGTCAAAAATATTTTAAGCATGGTTTAGTCGATTTCCGGTGGTCACGTGACCATAAGGCAAGCAAAATACGTATTTCAAAATGGGGTGGTCAATATGATATAAAACAAAAACCTTTTTATATAGAGTTTTGACACTTATCACCCTTAACATGAATCTGTTTGGAATGGTTGTCTACCATTTTTATTTTAAGAGATATTTAACAAAACAGGTCACGTGACTTGGTCAAAATTAAAAAAAAATTATTTTGTACCTAATAGTTCAATGATATCCAACCATTCCAAACAGTTTCTTATAGAGAACAATTTATTGAACAATTCCACTCAAAAATATTTTGGTTTCACATAAATTTCGCCACCCCATTTTGAAAAACATATTTTGATTGCCTTAGGGTCACGTGACCGCCGGAAGT